TAAACAACATGAGTCATAAACAGATATGATAAACAACTGATATGATAAACAAGCAACGTATAAAAACAGACTGATAACAAGGTAAGCCGCCAGTATAGATTCAGCCACCGAGTAGTAACTATCACTCCGAAGATGAATTCTGCATTGAGTCCAAAACGTCAGCAATCAACTGCAAACATGGATAAATCCTCAAGCTTTTCAAATAATATGACAATCCATGAGAGTTTCAACACATTCATAACATATCATAGATTTTAAAATTATACTATTTTTTAATCAACTCAACATTATTAAGTTTTTTTGTTTTCCTTGAGTTTAAAATTTTATATTAATTTCATTATTAATCAAAGAATACTAATCACTGTTTCATTAAGGAAAAAAGAGTTTATGTTGTTTTTTGAATAATTCACAAATTTTTTACAATTAATCACTGTCTATACATTTCCATCTCAGCCTTTCTTATAGTAGTGATTTTAATCATTGTCAGATATCATCTATACTTAACCTAATTACGTCTTGTCCATACTATGCAATGACCCACTGTGGTTCCATTTTTAAAAATTTAAGTTGACCCAAAATTATTAATTTTTTGTAATTAACGACTCACATTTATAATGTTGTATACATGTAATATAAATAAAAAAAATGTTTTTATTCTATGTTTTTTACAATATATCAAGTTTTGAACGCCCCCTATATAAGGGGAAATTGTCCAATTTTAATAAAAAGTATGTCAAATGAAAGATGTACTTATAATGTATTTAGAAAAAAAAAATTTGTGCTGATATATACATTTTTCAAAAAGTTATAGCATTTTTANTAAAATTGTGCTGATATATACATTTTTCAAAAAGTTATAAAATTTTTAATTTGAAAATGTAAAATCGAAAATATTAACACAAAAATAGTTTTTTATTTAACTACGGCCACCGTTTAAATGTAGAAAAAAAAATGTTGGGACAAATTATTTTTTTTCATTTTATACAACATAAAATGAGCTTTAATTTGATATATGTTTGAAGGACACAGTATTTCCGGAACATTTTTAAAAATTAAGTTGAAAAAGTTAATTTTTGTAAAAAAGTTGCTATTTTAAATCTCCCCCAATGAGCAGGTTAAGTGATAAATTTCCAAAAAAAATTATATCAAATAAAAGGTAAATATCTAAGGTTTTAGTATAAAAAAAATTTATGTAGATTTGTTGATTTTTAAAAAAGTTATGGAAGTTTTAAGACAAAAAGTGAAAAAATTTCGAAAATGAACGATTTTTAAATTTGTAATTTTTTTGGATTTTCCCCCATTTGCGGGGAACGAGGGAATTTTTTTCAATTTTTAAGGGTAATGTCTTCAACTAGATACGATTTGTGATCTTTTGACGTATTTTTGAAAGAAATCGGTCCAGTGAGAGCTGAGAAAAAGNTGACGTATTTTTGAAAGAAATCGCTGTAAATTAATTCTAAAAGAATTGAACACACATTAATAACAATTGAACACGTATTAACAATTCGTGACGTAGTTTATTTTATATTATATAGTACATCATCAAATAACCAAATAGTTCATTTTGCGATAAGTAAAAAGTAACAAACTATTTAATCAACTTAATTACACGACGTACAAATTTTAAAATAACAACCTTTGTTTTTTCATTGATTACGTATTACTAAATCACTCAATCAGAATGAATTATAACATCTTTATATTTATCTTGGCAGTGAACGTATCGAGTGAACACAAAAAGTATGATAAAGGGTATACAATTAATTTTTTAAATTCATTTTTACAAGAAAATAAATGGAAAATTACACCAGAGATATGGATGTATGACCATGTAAGNGAAATTTCACCAGGGATATGTGTGTATGACCATGTAAGTAAGAGTAATATTTTCTTAAATTATCTATTATTAAATAAAAGAAAATGTTCTAAAGGTTACATCGTCAATACAAAAAATGTTAATCAAAATTTGAGAGTAACAATGTTGCTTGTTAATTACGAGTACACAAAAAGTTTAGCATGGATCGTGTATCACGTAAAAAGTATTGCTACTACTTGTTATATACATGAATTGTGTTGTAATTCAGAATATTACGCCAATTGTGAGAGTTTATTAGAATCAAGTATTGAGATTTCCAAAAAACTTATTTCACGTTTTATTAGTGCAATAAATTTTCTAATGAACTTGTTAAATATTAAAACCAATCCATTTATTTTAAACGAATTGATAAAACTTTTTGGGTTTATAAGTGAAATAAGTGATGATAATTCATATGCAAAGCAAATTTANAGAGGAATAGGTGATGATAATTCATATGCAAAGCAAATTTATAATTATTTCAATACCGAGTACGATGAGAATGATTCTAATTTGATCAAAATACTTCAAAATTATCACATTGATCGAACATGCACTAAAATAAATAGTGATGTGGACCACTTTCAGAGGTATATAGAGAAAAATAATTNGATTTTAAGAGGTATTTAGAGAAAAATAATTTACCTCAAACGTTTAAAATGTATGAATTTATAGGAGTTAACTTAAGAGAAGGTATTCAAAATATGAATAAAACATTGTATACTAATCTGGGCTTCTTTTATGACGAAGTAAATAATGAAACTTCTTATGTTCATGAATGGCACATTGAAAAAAAAAAAAAAAGTTCTTTAATTTTTAACTGTTAAATTGTTAATTTAAAAATTATAAAAAAAACTTTTGTCTCTACGTGTAGAATGCAATTGTACTATTATTTGGTAAAAGTATACATGGTCTTCTTTTAGCTTGTAACATAATAAAATTATGATTAGTATAAGGTATAAGGTAACATTATGTAAAATTTTGTTTAAACTTTATTTATCAAGTTAATATTTGGTATATCTGCAAATTTATTCTGACGNTATCAAGTTAATATTTGGTATATCTGCAAATTTATTCTGACGATGAACAGTTGAATATTGCTTATTTGATCAATATGTACAAATTACATTAATCATGTATCGTTATACTAATTAGAAAATACCTCATACCT